CACAATGCGATGATCAAATGCAGCCAATCGCTTTTTTGGTGGTAATCGCTCGCCCAGCCCCTCAGCAATCTCCAAGGCCGAAAAAGGCCAAAAAACATTTTTTTGTTTTTAAGCACAATCCCGTCCGTAGTTAGGGGATCCGGAAGGCCACGTAGGTGTAAAAAAGCTCGCAATTTTTCCTAGCCACTCTCTCTAACATCAATCGTCATATTTGGATGAACAGAGTGCAGTGGAAAAGTTAGTATTGCAGGCAAAAAAAGCAGAACTAATAAAGACAGATTGAACAAAGCTCTTTGTGGTTGGCGGACAATTCATCATATCGTTGTTTATTTTACTAATTACTCTGTAATACCTGAATGGCACTAAATTTCACCAGATCCATAATAAATGCAGTGATAATTGAGTCGAGGTATGCGTTGGCTAGCAAACTGACCAGAGCGAAGCTCATTTTTTCTTATAGACATACTAAGTAAACTTGGTTACGTCTCTGATTGAGTGGGATTTACCCTAAAACAATAGAATCTATGTAGCAAATTCAAGAGCTGCGTGGGCGGGAAAGTGACGATGAGATGCCGTTGACAATAATTTCCCTATTTCCTTCGAGCATAAATCCTCTTTCAAGAATGCATGAAAGCAAAAACAGCCGAGTGTTAAAAGTATACCCCCTCAGGCAAACGTCAAAGAGGAACCTGTGGAAATGACATGCGTGGACAAGGATTCAAAATCAAAAGTCAGTGGGAGATTAGATAGATGAGGTTACCAGAAAGTCAAAACCTTAGGATATCAAGTTTTAGCTGGGATGCCCACATGACATGAGAAAAAGACAAGTAAAAAGAATGAGGTTTAAATTGCCGAAAGCGGTTTTGTAATCTGGTTTGGATTCAAAACAGGTAAGAATGAGAAGAGTTGAATTCCAAAACATCTCATAGGGGTTTCGTGGGAAGTCGGCGAAGATAATCCGTAACAAGATGAGCTCTTCATCATCTCTAAAGCTTCTCCAGCTTATTATCGTCCGTAGCGAACTGGCTTAATCTAATGCGAAAAGATATGAGTGCTTGACTTTGTTCGTGAGAATACTCACTAAACTAAAGTTTTCGAAAGGTTTTTTGTGTTGTCCGGGTAGGGAAGGGAGGAGTGAGGAGAGGAGGAAGTTAAAACTTTTGCTGCTTGGTAAATCAGTTTCAAGCGGGAGACCTTGGAAATTAGCAGAGGATGCATCCTTCAAATTAGTCCCTTTTAAACGAAAACCAAACCCGAATTAGCCTTTATCAACGAAAACCAAATCGTTTCTAAATGACAAAAAATTGGTCAATGAACAGCAACGTTTCGGAGACCAAAGTATTTGCCAGCGTCCTGCCAGATTCTCATCTTCAGCTTTCTCAGTTGCCTTTTCATGCTGCTGATTACAAATACGGAACCAAATAGAAGGCGTGAGTCAATTTAACGCAGTGACTAGTACCAGTTCATGCAGTTCCCCAAAGTCGCCTTTATCAAAGTCAAATTGCAGGAAGACTCTAAGGGGCGCATGCACTAACATCCCCAGGGGAGGGAATCGCAACTCAAAAGAAAGCTTTATATTTCAAAACTCCAGATACCTGGATTTCACATTGTGTACCTATCCGTAAGTATTCCTGCTACCCTTCACTATGAACATGTTGAACAGGAGCGAGAAGCTGTACGAACCGCATTTTCCAGCTTTTGTATGATCCCTGATGATCCCCGGCGCTTTTCTTTGAAGTCATTTTTCTTCCTCCGAAGTTAACGAATACCTTCCAAAGTTGTACTGAACATCTGACACAACAGTGCTAAGCATGCTGCTGATAAGAACAAATGATGTTTTGAAGTCATGAAATTTTCGATGATCCACAGGTCGAAATTTGAGGTTTACCGAAAAATTCGACTTTTCAAAAACTCGTTTGTTCTCATCAGCAACATGTTTATCACTGTTGTGTTAGATGTTCAGTACAACTTTGGAAGGTTTTCGTTAACTTCGGAGAAAGAAAAATGACTTCAAAGAAAAGCGTCGGGGATCATCAGGGATCATACAAAAGCTGGAAAATGCGGTTCGTACAGCTTCTCGCTCCTCTTAACATGTTCATAGTGAAGGGTAGTAGGAATACTTCCGGAGAGGTACACAACGTGAAATCCAGGTATCTGAAGTTTTGAAATATAAAGCTTTCTTTTAAGCTGCGATCCCTTCCCTAGCGGGGAGGTTAGTGCATGCGGCCCTAACTCAGACAGTCGAAGGGATACCTCCGGCGGGCAAATGGCGCGAGTCTGCCACTTCGCGCTCTGGAGCGCTTCGGAGTCTTGCCATTTCAAGCATTTTGCTGCTCCGGGGCTCTTTCAAAACTGGCGCACTTCTGGAGCAGAGATTTGCGCTTCTCGGAGAGTAGTCCCATTCGTTCACTGTGATGTCACGGTGACGTCACGGTGACGTCACAAGCAGGCGAGTGGGACCCCTCTCCGGGACGCGCAAATCTCTGCTCCGGAGGTGCGCCAGTTTTGGGAGAGCCCCGGAGCAGCAAAATGCTTGAAATGGCAGGGCTCCGGAGCGCTCCAGAACGCGAAGTGGCAGACTCGTGCCATTTGCCCGCCGGAGGTATCCCTTCGACTGTTCGTAAGGCCCATATGCACGTACAACCCTGCTAGGCAGGGGAGGGGATCTGAGAGGGGATGCCTCATATCTCGCTACTCTAGCTATCCTTCTTCTTTCTTCTCTATCTTGCTTATGAAGGTTCTCATACCCTAATACCTGCACATAATTGATGTCAGGTTACTGGCATAATTGATTAGATTTTCACTACTTTGTGTGATCCCCTGCAAATCCCCTGCTGATCCCCAAGGGATCACCTCTCATTTTCAAAGTGATTTATCGTCCTGAAAACTCAATGAAAACGCTGTAAGATTGTGTTGTGGATATACTACGGCACTGCTAAAGATGATTATAGTGAAAATTAGTGAGATCTCATAATATCGAAACCTTCGGTAATCCCCAGCTCGCGAGCTAGGGATCATCGAAAAGTTTACAATTTTCAGATTCCATTTCTTTTGTCGAAAACATGCTTAGCGGTGCCGTAGTATATCTTCAGTACAATTTTACGGCGACTTCATTGACTTTCCAGAAAGATGAATCACTTTGAAAATGAAAGATGATCCCCAGGGAATCCCCTGGGGATCAACAAAACAGCAATAAACCAATCTTGTATGGAATTAACCTGGGATCCGCAGGTATAAGTGTATGAAAAACTTTATAAGCAAGATAAAGAAAGAAGAAGAAAGATACGTAGAGAAGCGAGACTCATCCCCTCTCAGATCCCCTCCCTTCCCCAGCGGGGATGTATCATCGACTCCACGATCCGTGTAGAAGCGGGGTTTTGCCAACTCAAAGCGTGGCGGTTTTTGATAGCGAGAGAGTACGAAGAACAATGCTATGACGTGGAGGTTTAACAAGTTACCTGTTTTATCAGGCAAAGTCTGCTATACACCTCTACATGAATCGTGGAGACGCTCATCATACGTGCGTACGGGCCTAAGTCCTTCAGAAAATTGGGCTAACCAAGAGATGTGCCCAGCGAAAGATTAAAGAAGGGTGATTGAGGAAATGCAAGAATGAATTAATCAAAAAAGGGATGAAATTATGGCTAATGTAGAAATGCTCAAGTTTTTCAAAGAAATTTCGTCAGCAAAATACGCTAGTAAAACATGAATTTATCGTACTTGAACGATATGATCTGCGATTCCTCGTGTCGCGAACTCTATCTGCATGGGTCAATCCGGCATATAAAATACTTCCAAGTAAAAATATGTTCATTACAAAGATCCCTGAAGCAAAAGCAAAAAACCAAGCCTTTCCAGAAGTCATTACTTGGGACTATCATTTCTACTGTAACCATTGTGCGAAGTACATATTTCTAAACAAGCAAAAGTGATCTTAACGAAAGAAGAATGTTAAAATTTTACAGTATCACCATGCAGCTTAATTTGGGTGTTTTTATTTATACATTCTTCTTGTAGTGATCACTTGCAGTCAACACATAGATGTGAATAAAATACGAGTGAGGATCTAAAAAGCATCTTTGAAATCTAAAAAAGTTCACTACTAATAAAAGCGCTTTACTGAATTCATTCTTCAATGTAATGATTATTTGCAGTCACGATCGAGTAAAAAGATTTTTAAGTGAGACATTGAAAATCCTCCCCATAAGTTCTTAAAAGAAGAGCTTAGTAGCGACCAAGTGCAGGCCGAATTGTTGTCAAAGCCAGTGGTAAGAACAGTCACACCTGTCTCAAAATCAAAACAGATTAGGCACAAATGCGTGAAACTCACAATCAGATGTATTGGTTGTTCAGCATTGGTTTTTAGCAGCTGAAGTCCACTTTTAATGGTGATTTCGCATTCAAACCAGCTTGGTTTATAGCAAAGGCTTCAGAAAGTATAATGAGCAGCAACATGCATGAACTATTTAATGTGAAAGTTCTAACTATGCAGCCTAAGTTTCACTGAATAATTCAAAAGCCGTCAGTACCTTTATTTTGCCCTACTCAAACAATACGAAATGGGAAAATTTATAGGATCCACATACATTAACAGCTACGGTCTTTGATTATATACCCGCAATTAAGAGAAGGCTTTGGTTATATACCCGAGAAACATATTCAAATTGAACATATGCAGAGAAATGCTGAGCTAAAAAATTGAAAGATGGAACATGTTAACTCAAACTGGATCAGATAACATCAAAGAAAATCACTGGTATATTTACTGAAGAGATAAGACGGAGATCACAGTGTTGAAGGATTCGCTGCATTATCAATAAGTCCGTAATGTTTTCTCATAGATCAAAGAAGTATGCTCCAAAATAATTTAACGGAGAGCAACTATGTACTTTGCAAATAAACAAGATGAAGTGACGTTCCAGCTGACAGTGAAAAAAAATTATAATAAAATTCAGATTCCGCCTATTGATCGATCTCCTCCCGATCAAATCGCACTCGAATTACGATGAGGCAGTCTCAGGGATTGATGGGAGGGCTGAAATTCATAGAATTATGACTTTATGGAAATAACTTTTTTCCATTTTTGAATTTATTCTCTTTTTCACTTTCACGGCTTTTCTTCATCACTGGTCAGTAAACGATTTTTTCACATTCAGGGACTCAGACAATCGCAAATTTTTTCTCAGGCAAACTGATGTTCTAGAACTTCCGGGAGGACACTTGTACTGGAGCTACAGGTAAAGCGGGGCCAGGTATGGCAAGGCCCACTCACACGGCCCACGAGGCCCTCGGAGCGTCCCCCGGATGTTTTAGAAGTTCAGCTTGCCCCGGAAATCTCTTGTCCTTATCAGAAATCTCACTCGAGAAATCCGATCCAGCTTCATGTCGATTTGGACTCAAAGATACAAGTATAGATGATGCTTCTTGATGACGTAGGCATGGATTCGAAAAACCACGACAAAGCCGTGGTACGGCAAGTTTTCTAGAAAAGTTAAAATAAGGTACAGCCACTTTGCGACGAAATGCATTTGCGTACCTCGTAAAAGTTGAGTTTATACTTCGAGGTGAGGTTTGGCGCCGTTCGGTAAAAGGAAATTCATACGCAACGGCAAATGGTGATCGTCCGTCGGGTGAAGTTCGCTCGGGGAACTAAAAAGGTAATTTGGGATAATTTCGTCCTACTCGAAGAATTTTTCATTTGCTCCAAATTCTTTAGGGCCATGCTTCTCACCTGAGTGTCTTCTTCCTCTGACTCGGCAATTTCTTCAAATGAGCATGTCATCGATCGAATTCGATCATCTCGTCGTAGCATCTCAGATGGTCGAACTTCGGTGCTGAACTTGTGGAACAGCGTGAACTGTCTTTGTTGTGGGTTCGCAGTTGTCATCTGTAATCAAGGACTTTTTTACGGAACAGACCGGCATTATACGCATGTAGGCGACCTCTACGCGAACAATGACATCAAGGAGAGGGGGCAAAAACAGCGTTTGTACCTAGATTGGTCCGGATTTTGGCTGTCTATGAATGATAGTGCTAGTGAAAAAAAGAAGAATACGGAACGTTACGTTGATGCACGGTAACTTCTGAATTAAAAAAATGAAAAAAATTTCGAGGTATAAAAACGGGAACGCTAAGATAGGAAATACACCCAAGCATGCAGTTGAAATCCCAGGGTGTAACAAACAAAACTATGTACCATAGAATCTGGAAAATAAAGCAGTTTTGACTTACAAGGAGACGATACTTGATGACCCCGGCCATGTGGAATGCGATGTATACCAAAAGGTGCATCTCGAAACGCTGATTTAAATTTGTGCTCGAAATCTGCGAAACGATCATTGCAGTTATAAACTTTTTTTCGTAGGAAATTTGAGTACTTTTAGGTAGTTAAAATCACCCAATTTGATCTATTTTACCGTTTCAAGCTATTGAGGAGAATCTTGAAAGGTGTAACGTTCTATTTATAGCTATCTAAACAATATTCAGCATTTGAAGAAAAAAGGAAAAATTTTTATTAATGATTTTCACCCTTCGCCGTAGCGCAATCCATTTTTGAAAAAATAATTATAACTCCATCCAGATTGCAGTTTCGCAGATATGAAATACAGTAATCGAACCAGCAACGAAAGGCGCATTTTTTGATATACAAATCATTATGAATGGCCGGGGTAAGCAAGTATCGTGCCCTGCTTAGATAAGTCCGTCTTTGCGGTCAGCCTTGAAGGCAATCCTTTTTTCCAGCACAACCTCTTCAAAATATAATATTTCCAGATAAGTTTGATCTTTTGACGGATTCATTTGCGGGGAGGCCCTATGTGTCAGATTTTAAGGTACTTGCAATTTGAGCTTGCAACGCAAGATTGCACTTCACGAAACTCCATTAGCGACTCAATTAGCAACAAATTAGAAGCGTTGCGGATCTAGCGATGACGTCAAAAGTTGGAAATTAATGAGCTGTTGCAGGCAGCTACAGCAAAGTGCTCTGGATTGATTTATCCTCTTTCCCTTTTCCAGCAATGAACGTCTGCTTCAGTGTCCCAAGACGTGTTCCAAACAATATGATGCATCATAGTCATTTTGGCGGAGTAGTACTGTATTGACTTTTTGGTTTTAGTGCGCTAGTCTCTTCCATTCGTAAGCGCTATAAATTCATTTATCATCTGACACTTTGTAAAAAGTGATCAGTTCAAAAAGGATGATCGATGACCATTTTTAATTGAAGTGACAGATCATAGTAAAGAGCTTCGACGTCTCAGAGAAGAAACGTAGGATATATTTATTGCTTTCGAAGTGCAGAAAATCAGAGACGGAGCAAATTTTTATTGAAGGGTTGTAATTACACACCACAGCAAAAGATGAAGCTTGTGAAGTGAGAGTGACAACAAAATATCTTTTGATGGATTCGCTAAGAAATCACATTGTTAAGTGGAACAAAGGCAATGTTGACAAGAATCAGGAACGCTTTGCCATTTCGAATACATTTAATCTTATTATAACAAGGACCACAAACTGCCTTTGTGTGAATAATCAAATAGTGGTTTAGACGACTCGGACTCGAAATGACCAAAAAGCGTTCTTTTACGGGGCAGCGTATGTATGTGGCCAAAACACAATAGACTCCCCTTCCCACCACTTCGAGTGCATTCGGTTTGTGATGTGGAAGAATGCAAACTAATTCGTATCTAAATTTGTACTCTAGAGTAATCTCTACCTGACCGAAGAGTCGTAGTTAACGTTTCTGAACAAAAAATGAATGATTCTGGAGAAAAGTAGCGGTAGAAGCCCCACTACAAGAGAAAAGGCGGCGAAACTGCTATATGAGGGGTGTTCCCTTATCCTTCTCCTTGTGGCTGAGGGAATTTTCGTCAAGATGATGAGGATTTGAAGACACATGCACAAATTAATTGGTGTCCGATGGCCCGTCCCTCCCCATTTTTTTTGAACTACGAGAAGATAATGCTGAAGCGACACTGGCAAAAAAAAATAATTTTTGGTCACCGCACGTGCTTATGGGGCCCCGAGCATATATTAACATGTCTCGAAGCCACGCCCGAATTGGACGTTTGAGCAGGGGTTTCCCGAACTCGACTAAATCGAGAATGACGCGCTACAAAGCACGTGCACAGCAGCGCATGGAACAGAAAGAGTTTGAATTTCAAATTTATTCTATATCCATGTGAAATTTCCATGTAAAGCGAATGCTGGGAGCATTAAAGTAACGTGCGGGGTTAATATCGCATAAGACTAGATTTAATGAAATCGCGCAACAGTCTCAGTCATGATTTACTTCGGCATAGTAAAAAGCAGCCGTTGAAACTTTTTTCTTATCACTACTTCCGTCAAATCAACCAATAACTGTTTAAATCACAATTTAAACAGTTATTGGTTGAAGTGCTCCACTTCAAATTCTGACAATAGGATCATTATTGATTTTGGAGGTAAGACCTGTTTTATTCAATTGCTGTGTACAATGAAGACTAGAAAAGAACATTATTAGTAAGGTTCTTTACAGAAGATGGTCATACAAATAGCATCATAGATGCGTAACCTTCCACATAAATAGAGGAAATGACAAGAGAGAGGAAATAATATTATGTTATCATGGGATATAGAAGAGGAAATAGAAGAAAAGTTTTTGAGTCTTGACGTCATGGTCAATCATAATTACTGCAAATATGACGAAAAATGTTAGAGCCCTGTTGCGAAAAAAAAAAGGAATGACACTTTTTTCCTACCTTGTCATGTACTCTGCAAAATTTTATATTATCACGAAAATCCGGAATATAAAAGTTGCATTTTCCCTTTGTTTATTAAATAGTGCAAAATTACTACAAAAACACTTTATTCTCACCGTATGTCCCAATGGATTATCCTCAACTATTTTTGAGCTTTGCTGTGCAAATGGATACTCCTTCACCCCACAGGCACGAATTCAAAAATCCTATTGAGCATGAAATCAAGGGTTCATTACTTTGACGAAGATGACCCCGCAAAAAAATTCTGTGTTCTCTATAGCTCCAAAGAAGATTGATATCCAGAATCTAGGACTTTCCTCTGAACGAGTAATAATTATTTTAAGAGGTAGGACTCATGTAGCAAAGTTAAATTGCGTAGGCAGAAAAGCGAGGGCGACATATTGTTGACGTGATTTCTTCTATCTGGTGTTCTTCAAGCATAAAAAGTCTATTTCTCGAATGCATGATGGCAAAAACAGCTGAGTGCTAAAAGCAGGGCTCTTAGACAAATCTCAGGAAAGGAGAGCCTGCGGGAATGACATGGGATTCAGGAACTCAAACATCAAGTGGGAATTTGATAGATGAGGGCGAGAAAATCAAAACCTAAGGAGTCCATGTTCTAGCTAGAGCGCTCACACAACGTGTAAAAAAGATATAAGTAAGAAGAGATTGAATTTGCCTTGAGTGGGCTGATAATCCGAGGAGCACAAAAAACAAAACAAAATTAAAGTTGAAAATTCGACAGAAATAGAAAATTGCCGAAGTCCAAACCACACATCTTGATCTTAGCCTGAGACGTGAGAATTTTCACCAGAGGAACCCAATAAAAATTAACCAGTGATTCTTGAGTGTAATTAACTCAAGAATATCAGGAGTTTTGGAGCCATCCGTTGCTTTATATGCCAAAATTGAGCCCTAAAATATTTTCTGAGCTCAATGCTTTACAGCTGCAAAAGCAGGTTTGTTTGACGTTTCTGCTGAAGTTTCAAACACCAGACAATTGTCGCAAGCCCTTTTTACAGATCAAATTTTTCCGCCGTTTCAAACACTGTTGGTGAAATTACTGAGTATCCCGAAAAATTGTTATAAATGAGATATCACTCAGTAGGTGATAGGCAACTGGTTTACCGAAGGATTTCCGGAGCTTGGTTCATATGCAGGTTCGGAAACCGCGAATTTTTACTTAGTTGATAGCTATTCTGTGATCTTTTCAATTATGAATTGAATCCCAAAAAATATTACTGCGGGACGAATTCAAGTAGGAGTATAAGTACTGAGCAAGCAAGCATGAGTACAAGAGTATTTCTAACACAAATCGACCTGACACCAGGGTTGGGCACAGGTGGCCCATAAGCAAGCTGGATATCGCTTTTCGGACAAAAAGTAAAGGGGATATCGTTTTTGTGGCCGAAAATACGACGTTTTGTTTTTCGAAGGCTTTTTACGGTTTTGGTTTCGGGCTAAAAGGAATTCGTAAATTTTTGGGAAAGAAGGGGACTTCGTTTTTTGCATTTTCGGAAGGCCACCTCATGCGAAGCCCTGCTTTGTGGCCTACACATTTATACCACTTTTTTACGGTTAAACATCAGACAACATGCAAGTTGCGGTCATTAGCTTAAAGATGATAAAACTCATCTAAATCTCTGGAAGTTGACCAGTAACGACAATGCAAGAATAGATAGAAAGAAAACAAGAAAGATGCATAACGAAAGGATAGATACTAGATGAAGAAACGATCGATAAATGGATGGAAGAATGAGCGGAAGGATATAAAGACATTTCTGATTAACTGTGAGGTTTGAAGTCCGTCCGTAACTGATGTAGTGCGAAATTATATACCTGGCTTATCCATTCGTAATGGCAAATAAAAACGTTTGATTTATGAACACAAAAAATGCTTGTAACCATAGAGCATTCTATGCAAAATCAAGAAACAAAATTTCAACTTTTTGATAACATCACTATGTGCGATTAGCACTATTCGGCATAGTTTATGAGTATTTGCGATTTTTTTTGCAAAAGAGATTGTTTCGAAAAGTACGTAGGGTACTAAAAGATATGTAGAGGTGAATAAAAGATTCAACTGATCGAAGACACGAAGATTGAAAATTTGCAGCTTACCTACACCTACGCGGATACAACTTTTTGTCTTAATTTAAGTAAACTAGTTCGTTTTCTTTCGACATATATGCATTCCGCTAAAAAAACCGTGTGATTTCTTGGATATTCGCAAAAGTCAACGCGCAAGTATCTCAAAGTACCTCTACTATGGATTTACTACCAAAGCTACCCCTATCACTACCAGCTGCATGCGCATAAACGTGAACGTCTCATGAACTAGTGAGATTCGCTCTCGAGTCAAAAAAACCACTGAAGCTCTTATCATAAAAGCTATCATGTATTTATTTGTTTTGAATTTACGTAAGCAAAGTGGTTGTGGCACGTCATCTTATCCGGATTATTCAAATTACCAAGCGACCCTAATGTTCATAGTACAGTAGCACTTTGTTTACTCTATCAGTGACGTTCACACACGAAAATCAGATGCAAATTTATGTAAGTCCGATCAGACCTCCAATAGTTCAATCAACAGTTTCGGTCGTTGCAGACAGATCACGAACAGATGAAGAGTCGTGAATATCACATGCATTTTTGGCTTGCTATTTCACAGTGAATGTTTTAACGATTTCCGAGACAGACAAACCAGTTTGATTCAGAACAGAACTTCTGATGGATAACAGTTACACTTATGAGCCTGCAAGCATGTCTTTGAATTCTTATTTACACTTGCTTCATACGAATAAGGACTCAATAATAAGCTTGAATTTCCTTACGAAATCCATGTTTTACGAAAAGTGAAGATTTTGGTGTTTATCGTCCACAGAAAATATGAGTCGTTTTTCAGACCCTGCGCGTTCGTGCAATTCGCGTTTTGATTCGCTTAGTTTTTTCTCCTTGTACGAAATGTCACAAATTTCTGCTGAATTTTCGCACAGTATGGCGAAAACCAGTTGTCAAAAATATAGGTGAAAATCAAACGTTGCGATGCTCTGGAGACTTTTCCAAGCATTCCAATTTTGGAGTTTAGAGCAAAGATAATTTGAATGCTCTCTGATAATCTCCGTGAAAACTATTTGGCATATTTCGTTCCCGACAACAATGTTACCAGATAATAACTTGATGGAGCCGACAGCTCTCTCAAATCTAGAGTTCAATCAAAAGCATTCTGCAGCTCCCAATCTGAGGGGCCCGTCATACTTCGCCGAAAGAAGCCCTTTTGGGCTTTTGTGGGCTCTTTCGGGCTTTTTTGGGCCTTTTCGGGCTTCTTCGGGCTTTTTGGGCTTACGAACTTTTCTGGGCTTTTTGGGCTTTTTTTTGCGCTTTTGGGCTTCTCTCGGCATGACGAGACGTATGAAGTATGACGGGTCCCTGAACCTTACAGGAAATCCCGAAAATGATCACAGCTCATTTTTAAAAAAAAAATATATGCCGAAATAAGCTTCCCATAGTTGAAAACTTCAAGTTTAGAGTGCATGGTACTTTGCGTTATTCAGCAATAAGAAACGCGAGAGTGAGTCAATAATGTCACTTCTTAAAAATCAAAAAAGGCGAGTTTGAAGGCCTGCGAGAAGACCAAAAAGGAGTTCTAAGGGGAATATTTATGACTAGCTGGCTTACCCGGCTCCGCCCGTCCCTGTCAAACACTGTAATAAAGGCCCCATCCATATCTCTGTACAGCCTCCCTGTGCACACTTCTACATGCAATTCCCTATTCCCGCTGTGTTAGTAATCAGCATGCTCACCTACCTCCATCAACAACTCCCAGCCTCGTAGCTCACACTTTGCAAAAAATCAATAAAATCGATAAAAGTAAGGGTAATTTTAAAAACTGATGCGCTATTCGGCTATCCGGGCCTCAAAATGTTTTTGGGACGAATCTTGCTCAAACTCGTATATGGGGGTTATTTGAGCCACTGATGACAAATATCGTAGTCATTTCGCGTGGCAACGGGTAAAAATCATGAACCTGCCTGAAAACCTTGGCAGGGAATTACTTAAAGTGCTGTTTCAAGAATATCGCGCTTAATCCTAACGATAAAGGCAATTCGTGTGCTATAAAAGTTTCCCACGACCGTAATTGCTTTCCTTACAGGACCACTGCCGCGCAATACACCCTTCGGCGGCTTTTGCTTAAGCAAAAACAGGGGGAGGGAGATTTGACGCGTGCGTTACGCATTGGGACAGGTTATAAGGATGGCGCTGGAGACCGCCATGCAAAATGACCGTTTACCCATTTCGTGAATATCTGGGATCTAAATTGACCCTAAAGCGGAAAAATGTCCATTCAAACCCTGCAACTCACCATAACTTCACAATAATGCGTTGTGACGCGAGCAAGCATCATTTTCATAAGCATTACTTGTGAACCGTTACAGGTAAGGTATTAAGCAAGTCTGGAACAGGGCCCGGCATAGATCGCCTGGAAGCACGCTGGACCTCGTTTTTGAAGCAAAAAGCAAAGGAGATATCGTTTTTGACGAGCCGAGGCCCAGGCACCAAGAATAAGCGCCAATTAGTCGAATATAAGCTTTTCGGACAGGTTATCTCACGATTGACATGCTCTATCATGTACGGCGAAAAGTGCGCGCTATTTGAAAGCAAGGCTAAACAAACAAATTGCTTGTTTACAGCGCACACCGAATCATATGACACCAAAACTGAACTGTATACATAAAAAATTATTTGCAAAAGAATTATGTAAAAAGGTTTGAAAACTTGTGTGAAGTAACACGTTTTTCAAAATTAGATCGTCTCCAGACCACCACCAGACGATCTGAGATCGTCTGGATATATTTCTGTCACTTCACATAAGTTTTGGATTTTACTATCATGGACGGATTCCCTGGTCAAAAATCTATCCCTGAGCACGAAAACATTTTCATATCATTGCCTTTCCTTTGTTTTTTGCCTTCATCTCCTCATATATCGCTTTGTGAAATATCGCGCTCCAAGACCAAACTTTTGCGCATGCATAATATTCACCTCCCATTTGGATTTTCAATCTTATCTTACGTTTTTTCTTTCATACTAGCAAGTCTTTCTTGTTTTCATCTTCTCCTAAGCAAATAGGTCAAAGGAGACTTCGTAAAACATCCGAAAGTCAGGGGAAAATTCGTTTTCAGAATAGAAACCGACTCGTTCCGGGCCCTGGTCTGGAACTTCGACCCACCCACTGCACACTCACCGTAACCCAAGAAAATGCGATATTCTGCGAAATCAGCATGATATTCATGTTTAGCGCGCTAAGTGACCACCCTAGACGAAGTTTAAAGCAAATCTATGTTTTCGATCCCATACCGTATAACCACCATAACTCTATGAAAAAGTCCCAATATGCAGAGAGAGTACGAAATTCGTAATCAGCTTGTCGAATAAGTTCTCTGGACGAACTCCAGTCGAATTCATGATTTTGACTTCCTATCATACACCTATCGTAACCACACGAGGAGACGTTCTGCGAAGAAAGTGTGATATCTGTAATCAGCATGTAAAATAACCCTTATACACGCAGTCTGAGCAAGCTCTACGACAAAACAAATTTGGGGCCCGGATAGCCGAACAGCGCCAAACTAATATTGTACTCGAAATCCCCCTGTGCCAACTCCCAGCCCCGTAGCCCAAACTTTGCGAAAAAATCGAAAAATTGATAAAACTAATGGCTTATTCTAAAAGCTGATACTGTATTCGTAATCAGCATGCTCGATTACCCCCTGTGTCAAATCTCAGCCCCGTAGGTGAACTCTGCAGACATACAGACAGACATACAAACAAACAGACATTCAGCTTTATATATAAGATAAGTAACCTTTGTTAGCACATTGAGATGATCATTTGTGCATGCTAAGTAAACCATTTAGAGCCACACCTATCGCAAACAGATCACAGCTTGATGTACACTTCATTAATCTTGAACCCGTTCAAAATTATCCAAGGCTCTATAAACCCGCAGAACACATTCACGATAACATCCTAGACAGTTGTACAAACTACTAAACTTAGAATAACACTATGTAGATCCAAACTGGATCACGTACATTTCACAAAATAGATGTCATTCTACAAAGAGAGACTAGATGGAGATCACAGAAGTAAAACAATCGTGATATCATCTCTGCAAAGAGCAGTGGTCAAAGGGGTTTGATGTTTCATTATTTACAGAGACAAAAGAAATTCTCATATGAAAAATACATAGTAATTAGACCAATATACAGTCAGCTCACAGCTCAGCTGACTTGAGCAAAAGGCGATGAAACTCGAAATTCGGCCACTGATGAATCTGTTTGGATCAGATCAGGATGAGGCTGTCTCGGGGATGGACGGAAGTGCTGAAATCACAAAACTGTCGTGTTTTTTTCTAATTTCTTAAGAGAAGATCGGAGCACTACTTTTTGTATCTAGAATCAAAATGTTTGTCTTTGAAAATTTCTAGGCGAAAGTCAAGCCACATACTTTTCTGTCGAAGTTTCCATCAACACTATTTTCTTGTCTCACCATCACTGTGCTTCCACTAAGACACTATAAAAAGTGAAAAGGCGTGAATATTCAAAAGATAATAAAATGATTAGCCACTCCCCGCCAAGAATCAAGGGTCATTGCCATAGGTTAAAATTTGAATTTCCCCGAAGCTCTATAATCAAAGGCGTAATTTGGAAACCTACGATAAAAAACTCACTTAAGAAGTGCGACCCATTAAACCGTTCAGGACTGAGAGATCCAAACATAGTCGATGCTTGTCGGCAGCGTAAGCTTGGATCCGAAGATCCACGACATAGGCGTGGAACAACAAACTCTCTGAAGAAACCAGGATATCGAAATACCACGATTAAGTGCAGATTAAGTGCAATTGCATACCTCGCGCAGGTTGGGCTCAGCTTTTGAGAGGAAGTTCCGCGCCGTTCAGCAAAGGGAGATTCGCAAGTGACAGCAAATGGTGATCGCCCATCAGGTGAAATTCGCTCTGGGAGCTGTAATAGAGATAAGGATAGAGATATGCACCAACAATAAACAGAATGGTGAGCCTTAAATGCTTTCAAAACAACTTTTTTCTCACTTGAATATCCTCCTCCTCTGACTCGGCTATATCCTCGAATGAGCGTGCCATCAATCGAAGATCATCTCTTTGTACCATATCAGATGGTCGAACTTCAGTGCTAAACTTGTGGAACAGCCTGGGTTGTCGTTGTTGTAGATTTGCAGTTGCCATCTGTAATTACGGAATTTTAGTAAATAATATAAGCGAAGAAAATAGCAGTTATAGCGCAATCTCTAACAAAAGTGGAACGAGAAAAACATGCATCTATTGCTTATAATGAAAGCGAAGTGGTTTTCAGATTATGTGACGTGAAGATATTATTATCATAAAGGACAGGCTAAATTATCAAGCGCTAATAAATTGTAAAAGCATCATAATTTTGAGCTCGGCATTACTAGCAAAAAGATAACATTTAGAGCGATAATTGTATAGTTTGTAAAATGCCCGTATAGCAGAAGTATGTAGGCTAATGGAACAGATAAGATAACAGATACATTTGAAAATCTACAGAATGAGGTGATATGAGATGGACATCTATCTATGTAAGCATGAACCTTATTTAAAGTTGAAATTTGTTGATTTTCTATGCAATTCTGAGCTTGCACAGAGTTTGCCTTATATAAAATTCATCGGCGAGTTAAATTAAGCTAGCCGCAAACCAATGCAATGAAAGGATGTCAAAATTTCATTTACAGCACTTATTTACGCACTTCATTACAGCACAGAACGATCGTCACACTACACAAAGACAATGCTCCACCAAGACATACTGGTTTGCTGCTCCTTAGAACGATTCATCATATTTACTTTGACAACTACTCCAAAGCACCGTGAGTGTGAATGGTGCAAGTGTCGCAGGAAACGCTATAAATTATAAAACAACGCCATAAATCAGTTGATATTTCGCGAAAAGCGACCAGTTCGAAACGGATGATCGATGACTATTGGTAATCGTTCTGACAGGACTTATCGGAGAGTGCTTTGATACCTCAGAGAAGAAACACAGATGGAGATTTGGTGTTTCCAAAGCGCAAGACATCAACATCATCTTTTTAAGTTTCATGAAAGAATCATCGAATTGGCAGAATGTTGTTATATGCGCTTGCTATAAGTTTAAAATCAGAAGAAGCTACGGTGGCAGCAGGACAAAAATTGCGATGACAGCGTGAAAAGGAGTCTTCAAAAATAGGAATAAATAAAAGGAGAGATGTCAGCACCCGAAGATGATGTGACAGCATAAGCGTTATCTATCAGCTTGCACTAGTTCGTAAAAGAGTTATCGAGTTCGTGCTTTGAATCAAAGAATAAATTGTTCGAGAGGAGTTTCCAGAATACAATTAGAAAGTGAAGGTATCCAGGAAAGATGCTTTCCAAACAAAGTATCGTTCTGCAGAAAATAATCACGTGGGAATTACTTCGTTTATAACTGCTCCTAATTTTTATAAATATTTACAGAATTATGGTGATATACCTCTACTAACTTTAGTAATCACTAAATCCAGGATGTTGGTGTTACAAAGGTTGAAATGTACCAGGAAATATTTTTGATTGAGAATCTCGTGGAAAATCGCATGCTTTGACATTTTCTCGCCTTAAAGGATCTGCAATGAAGCAATAAGAAGAAATGTCGAAATGTTCTCTTTTTGAGGTTCTGGAATATTAAAAAAGAGTCAACACGTTACGAAACGTATTAATGCAACATCCTAATAAGACCAAGAGACGTCCCGTACTTTTGAGCCCTCAAAGGATAGATGCCGCCGAGAGCAGCAAAGCCAAAGAACACAGAAAGTAGTTGAAGTGTCCACACTCACTTTGACAATCACGAACTCGGCCATAAGTCTTAAATACAAGTGCTACGTACTGATGACGATCTTTTGTTTTATGTTCTGCAGGCTACGCCCATCTCGCCACGCCCTTATAGCGTGTGTCAGGCGTTAGAAAAAGATAGTAGTCATGCAGGCAAAGAACACTCTGAGACGAACTTGCCCCTTGATCCTGAAAGGTTAATAATTCGGAAAAATGTCTCAACATTTTTTATTCCTCTTTGATAACTAAATGTGACTCTTCTTCCCCCTTTCAGGAAACTACTGCATAGTCGCAATTACTCGAGGAGTTTTCTGCATCTAGTTTTTCTGTTCGCTTCTAATTATCCATAGCAGCTCATCATTTCTCGTGCAACTACGTATTTGAAACCGATGAGCAGGGGCCTTTTCAGGTAACATTACGCTTTTGCGTAAATGGTGTAATTTCTCACCGAAATCTGAAACTTTATTAGAGTAATAACTTTTTCATTTTACGCTTGACGTATTTGAGGCACCATCACAAAGGTATAAGATTCCAATAGGTGATGAAAGACGGGGGGGGGGAGCAGAGTAAAGAACGGGTCCAGGTAGACCGATGAAGATGATCCAGGTAGATAGACCATAAAACATACGACACACCCTTTTGGTCTACAGTAATTTGTGTGTATGGTTTGTGGAAGTGGACAGTTTTTGGCTCAAGCATAATGATACCCATCAAGGTTCCATTTTACGTCTTGGCACCAGACCTTACACTTTGAACCAAACTTTGTTAAACTTTATGGGTAACACATGACATGTGTGTTTTTGGAAAAAATATGCGTTTCAGAAAATATGTGAGGATCCGTAAACAAGTTAAACTTTGATCCTTCATTTCAGTCGATAATACTTACGCTACCCCTTTGAAATTGACCCACAAAAATCAAGTACTTTGAAGTTGATGAAAAGTTCAAGAAAGATGACAGAGTTCGAAAAAAGTTGGTGCGAATGAGAACTAGTTGGAAATATTGGAAGTTTTCTCCATTTGATTTATACAAAGTAAGGGACTAATCTAGGCATGATCAACTGCCTTAAAAAATTCACAAATTTTTCTTTTTATCACTATTTCCGGTCAAATGACATTGATTGGTCATACTAAATGAACTAGATCTGTTTCTGAACAAAGCTCCTGTAATCAATTCTGTCTAGTACATAACTTATTCCCACAATTTCTGTGTACGAATGAAAAGGGAAAATTCTTTTTTGGTGCAACGCAAATTTTCACACAATCTGAAGAAAAAATAACAATTGAATAGAAGAAAGCGACGAATGAATTCTGATCTTTGACGTAATTGCACCATATAGACCATCATATAAATCTCATATGACAAATGACGCCTGGCTTTTGCAATTAATTCAATAAAAAGCTTCCCTTAACAAAAAGGGTAGTTACTGAGACCTGAGAGCTAAAGAAGCAGGATGACTATCTACGTTTGATTCTTCGCTTTTACATTTAAACTCGCAAACTTCCTTACCAGTATACTTGGGTCCGAATCGTATAGAAATTTGATCATTTGAATAAAACATTCGAATATATTCGTATTCGAAATTCGATATTCGGAGTTCTTCCATTTCCGAATAATATTCGAAACTCGAATAATCAAAAAACGAGGTTTCGAATATTATTCGAAAACTCGAATAATCAAAAAACGAGGTTTTGAATATTATTCAAAAACTCGAATAATCAAAAAATGGGGTTTCGAATGTTTTATTCGAATGTTTATTCGAATTCGTATTCGAATGACTCTGTATTCAGATTATTCGACTTTGTTGCAAAACCACTGCTGAGTATCAAGCTCACTTCGTCCGCGTTTCTTTTCGCAAAACTCGGTAATGCATCTTTTGCAACCGTTATACCTTTGAACTGTATGGAGAGTCGCATTCTTCCGACTGCTTGCGACAGCAAAAAAAACATATGTGGATTTCAATTGATGTACAAAGTAGGGCAAGCCCTTTGCTTTTACATTGTTGATGCTGTTAAGAAATAAAGTTAATTTTGGTGTACATTAGTCTCTTTCATACCATCTGAAGAAGAATCTTTTGGGCACAGCATAAAAATTCATATCGACTGCTTTTTAGATCGTCCATACTTTATCGATTTCTGGGGAAGTTTGAGCTGCGGGGCTGAGAGTTGGTATAAGGGGGTAAGTGAGGGCGCTGATTATGGATGAAAATTTACTTTATGAATTTTATCGATTTTTGGAGAATCTCGAGCTACGAGCTTGGGAGTTGGTACAGGGGGTAATAGAGATGCTGATTAAAACCGAAATTTATTTCATCGATTTCAGCAATTTTTGGAAAATTTTGAGCTAGGAGTTGGTATAGGGGATACTAGGGGGCTGATTATGATTGGATCGGCTCTAGCCAGATATGTTGGCAAGTTTGAGATGTGATTGCTTCAGTCATTCGATAAATCATTCGAATATTTATTCGAAATTCGACTTCCGATGTTTGAATATATTCGAAATTCATTCATTCGATATTTTTGATTTTCCGAATTTATTCGATATTCGTTTACTCGAAATTTTTCCTTTTCGAATTTATTCGATATTCATTCATTCGATGAAAAATTCTCGAATTACCCAAGTTACTTACCAGTCTTATTTTTTATTTGTTATTTTCTAGAATACATGAATGTAACCATCTACAGCATTGTAGAGGGAATTTAAGTAGGGGAGTGGGAAAGAGAGAAGGAAAAGAGAAGTTCAAAAAGTTCCCAATATAAGGTTTGAAATACGATTCTAAACAGAACGTAAACTCAGTGATAAAGGGATTCATTGATCATCTGCTTACCACTTCTGATACAAGGCTTTGTTTTGGAGTACAATCTTAGCGAACTAGAGGAAAACGGAGCAGGTAAGTAGGAAAGAGGAATATAGTTGAACCTTTGAAATTTTTGCGAAGCGATTCACTCAAGGAAAAAGACAATTTCGACCTTTCACTCCTGATTTTGTTCGCCAAAAAGTACATATCTGCCTCAGCATTAAAATTGATGAAGAATAAAATGTTTACCGTGGGAATTCGCTACGATAAGTCTTTTTCGCCTATCTTTTCAATTCTTAGTCGTTTTTGGTTCAAACAATCTCCAAGTTCTCAATATACGGATTTTGAATTCAAATGTATGAGGTGAAAGGGTAATCTATGTTTGATTTCTGGGGCTTTTTTTTCGGCTTCAAACTTTATTAGGCCATCCAATCAAAACTTGAATAGCCCTTTCTCTTTATACATTTGGACCAAGGTTTAAAATCATATGAGCATGAGATCAGGATCACGAGGCCATTACTTCGACGAATGGCAACATAAGAGAAGCTCATGTTCTTGATGGCCTGGAACAAGTGAGACTAAGTTTTTTGATCACACAATAAGACTCGATGGAGGTTCCTTTTACAATTTTCCCATTCCTAAAAAATATTTAGAGATTTCATCTGCCGCATTAGTCACTTGTTAAGAAGTTAATCTATGTATTACAAAATTGCAGCTAATATGGGCGAAATGGCGAGGAAAAGAATTCAAAATTTTCAGCTTTTTGAGCAATAAAGTCTGGTCCTGCATTTTATGACGGCAAGAGCAGTCAAGTGCTGAAAGCATAGTCCTTGAGAGATAACACTGAGAGAGAAGAGCATGGAAATGACGTATGTGAAAGTTCGGACATGCGATAATTTAAGAATCATGGGAATTGCATAGGAAGGTTTGCCAGCAAGCCAAAATCTTAGGATACCTTGCTTTAGCTAGAATGCCCACGAGGCTGCCCGGAACTTTACCAGCCATTCCAGACAAGCTGTTTATCATCGGACTCGTCATAAAACGCTGATTTTAAACCTATGTTTATTGCTGCCAAACGACTATTTGGAAGCAGTTATGAGGATTCAAAGACGAGAAGTTTTTCAAGATTCGATGAATCTATTTCCCTTGAAGGCAGCCTGGTGGCGCGGATATACAGTGGCTATGGTTAATTCAATTACGAGAAAAAGGTACGTTTACCAAAAACCTAAACAAGTGTTCTCTAAATGTATTTCTAAAACATGCACCACAGAACACTTGACAAATCGCACATTAAACGTTCATAACTCCTTCCAGACAGTCGTTTGGCAGATCCTTAATAAACACATATTTGAAATCAGCGTATCAAGGGGAGTCCGATGGTATATAGCATGTTTGAAATGCCTCAGCTAGGTTCCGCTCAGCAACATGAGATGAAGAGATGACCAAAAAAACCGGAGTTCAGAATCAAAAGCTACCTATTTGTTGGATGAGAAGCACAAGATCTTTGCTCAAGCAACAGTGCCGAACTTGCTCATCTTGAGATCCAACTAGCTTTGATTTTATCAAGCTCATATCAAAATTATATTTCAGTATTTTGTCTTTTCCCTCTCGTAAGCAATTTTGCAAGTGCATTTTTGGCTTTCCTTTTTACCTCAGCTATTTGTATGCATATGTGCTTTCGGATGATTACAAAAACTGAACTAGTTTCTGGTGATATTTTCTGCTCAAGTTTGGTATCATCTCTATGGATGGGGCAAAGGCAGCAAGGAATTCATTTTACAGTCATGAAGACTCGCAACTCCCTCATGTGTTTCTACTTTTAGATGGATGAAAAACTATGAAAATGTAAAAATGTAAACTTCAAAAAATGCAATTGTAATCTTTGAGTGCTATGAGGGATAATAATTTTGGTTCAGAAGAGAAACTAAAAAGAAAGCTAAATGTGATACTGGAAAAACATCTTCTCTGATACAGCATGAAGTCTCAGTCGAAATTATACAGGAATTAGCGTTACTGAGAAAAGGTGATTAGCACCAAACACATGCAACTTGTAACGTGTGCTTTTTACTGCCCTGTACATCAATATACCATAACCATGAAGTGTAAAGCGGAGCAAGCAACAAATGGTCAACCCTGACCTAGCTGTAAATCTGTGCGAAAACATGCAGAACAAAAAGAAAGAAAGGCAAACTGAAGGACGCATTATACATTGTGACGTATAGGCATAGTATACACTTGTCCCTCTCATCCCCCTCCCTCTCCGCGAAGCTCGTCGTGTTTTATTTATTACTATGTTTGCCTTCAAAGCAGCGTCCTAAGTTCGACTGGCTCAAAAGTTAAAAAAACCGAATAGAGAGCGATCAGAGCAGAGATATGATTACAAACTGTACACATTTGAGGTACACAATCTTCTAACAATAGGGGGAGGGAATACTGTGGGTGAAAGAGGTGGTGAAACATCTGCAGATTCTGTTTACCGGAATCTCAAGAAAAAGTTTCATTTGAGCTTGCAAGAACTATTGCATCCACAAATTTGGCTGAGAAGCGGGTCAATGAACGGATGTTTGAATGAGTTGGTTTTTTCGAGGAGCGGACTGAAGATAATATGATCGGAACGCTTTTTGAGGTGAAGAAAAAAAAAGTCGTTCATGTAAGTGGGCATGGCGAGAGTTAGAAGGGTGGGATAGGGGTTAAAGGGCATGTGCTGGAACTCCTGACGCTTACAATTACTATGTTGTCTCTAAGATTTCGGTCAATGTGCGTGATCCATCCAGATTTATTTTTATCCAGGTGGAATCAAATCGTTTGGCGCCATTAGCAAAATCTTTTGGTTTCCTATGTATATTTCACCATTTCACGTTTAAATATTAGATTGCAATCAGGTTAAGGTCATTAGTCTATAACTTATAAAACTCATTTGGTTTCTTTAAACGACCCGTGATATGACCGCAAGAATTAATGAAGAAGAGCCTCAATGGTAACAAGGGAAAAGCAATGGATTAATGAACGACAGATGGCGAATGTATGGAAAAATTACCTGTTCGAATAAAATAAAACGTTAAGTATAAATGATGTTGTTTGTAGAACCTTATTTCTGGCGTCTATCTGCATAAGTCAATCCGGTTATAGTGACCAATGAAAAACATTAGGCATATAAGCACAAAGGGTGCTTGTGACACAGATCATTCTATGCAAAATAAAGAAGCAAAGATCGAACTTTTTGATAGCGTCATCAGCAATGAGCACTTTTCCATAAACTGCACGATTGTTTGCGAACTTTCTCATCTGAATGAGATCGTTCTCTAACGTAAAGTATCTCAAGCCACTAGAAGAAACGTATAGAAGAAAATAAAAGAACTAAAATTCAATTATTTGAAAACGAACATTACGCAATGATAAAAAATTTGCAGCTTACCGCACGATGGCAAATTTCCGCCACTTTTTTACTTTGAACACTCCTCTTTCGATTTAAATGCCTTCAAGAAAACCATGGCATCTTTCAAAATTTTTGCAGAAGTTAGCACGCAACTACCCCTGGACCTTATTACAGTTTTATAAGCGGAACCCCTCAACCGACTGCATGCGCATAAACTTGAACGTTCTATAAAATAGTGGCGGCATAGGATTAAGACCACGAATCAAATCAGACACTCTCGATATACAATCAAGAAAATTACCTATGTATTTCATAAGAATATTAGGCAAG